TAATTATATATGGTTATAAACACAAAAAAGAAAAGTTGTATGGAAAAGAAATTATATTCTTATACCATTAACCAAAAGTTAATGGGTGTGAGTGGAGGAGGTTAAGCATGTCTCTTCCATTGGTTGATATATCATTCTATATTTATATGTTTTTAGTTACATTTTTAAAACGTAAAAAAAGTTTATCAACTATATAAATATTTTTACATTTATATTAATTACTCCAAATCATCAAGATAAAACAAATATATATATATATATATATATATATATATATATATATATATATATATATATATATATATATATATATATATATATATATATAACTTCAAAAATGATCTCTATGGTTTTCGAAAATATCAAGTTTAGTCCCTAAGTTTGGGGTTTCAAAACTTTTAACATTTGGTCATTTTCGCTAACTCCGTTACCTTTTGGCCGTTAAGTAAAGGGCAATTCTGTCATTTCACTTCTACAGGGACCATTTATGAAGTTTTACCTTATTTTTTGTTTAAAAAAGAAAAAATATATAATTATTGACAAAACTTCAAAAATGGTCCCTATGGTTTTTGAAAATATCAAGTTTAGTCCCTAAGTTCAAAAACCCTCACAGATGGTCCGTGTGGTTTCAAAACTTTTAACATTTGGTCATTTTCGCTAACTCCGTTAGTTTTTGGCCATTAAGTAAATGACAATTGTTTCATATCACTTCCACATGGACCATTTTTGAAGTTTTACCTTATTTTTTTTTTAATAAGAAAAAAATATAATTATTTAATATTAAAGGGTCCCCCCTCACACACACACACACTATCTCTCTCTCTCTCTCTCTCTAGATCTTGTATGGATGGATGAGTGAACAATGTTTGACTGAAAAAGTCAAAATTGGATCGAGACCTTTCTTAATTGTTCCATACACCATCTATACTTCTTCCACCCTCCTTCTAACATCTGGTTCCGGTTCTTCTGCCAATGGAAACCATCGATTACCACTTGCACCAAATAATAACCGTACCTGAAATCATTGGTCAAAACCATATATGAAATCAAGCTATCAAACCTGAAATCAAAGCTCAAAACCATACCAAAATAATACATGGAATCAAAGCTTGGAACCGAACCTTATAATCAAAATTGTAACCAAAAACAATACACATCCAAACGTAGAAAATGAAACTCTCTTGACACTTTGACGAATATCCTCTCTCTTATCTTAATCTCATGAGCTATTCAGCAACAAAGACGAAAGAAAACAACTTATATGATGAACTTGACGAATTACACATGCCTTCCACTTCGTTCAAGAATTTCATGAGAAGCAAACCATTAACCAAAACAAAACACCAAATATACACCATCAAAAATCAGTAGACCAATCTATATACTAAATATGAGCTATGGTTCTCACCTTGGTGATTTTAGGGACAACAGATTTGGGCATGTGAAGTCGGCGGGATTATTTTCCCTAAATATGAGAATACTCGTGTCCTGGTTCGTGGAATCTCATATTGCCGATTTTGACCCAATTGAGAATACCTTGTTTGTTTGACTCGAATAGAGAAGAGAAAGAGGGATTAGGGTACGGTGAGATGTAGTGGAAGTTATCGATTTCCACCATCTTCCTCATTAGCCAATTTCGTTGTTAGCCTTCCAGGAGTAACTTGCATCTTCCCATGTTCCTTCCTATGGCTAATGTCATCGATCAACAATCACTGAAGGAGAAATCCGAGTAGGGTAATCGAACGAGGGGGATGATTAATCGTTGGGATCTGAAGGCAATTTGAAGAGGTCGAGATGGGAGATTGTAGTTAGTATGAGTGAAAGTGACGAGATGAACCTTTCTGATAGCTTTTGGAATCTTGAGAGAGAGAGAGAGAGAGAGAGGAGAGAGAGGGGGGGGGGGTCGGACCCCTTAATATTAAATAATTATATATATTTTCTTTTTCTATTTTATTTTTTAAAAATAGGGTAAAACTTCATAAATGGTCCCTGTGGAAGTGAAATGACAAAATTGCCCTTCACTTAACGGCCAAAAGCTAACGGAGTTAGCAAAAAGGACCAAATGTTAAAAGTTTTGAGACCACAGGGACCATCTGTAAGGTTTTTTGAACTTAGGGACTAAACTTGATATTTTTGAAAACCACAGGGACCATTTTTGAAGTTTTGTCATAATTATTTAATATTAAAGGGTCCCAACCCCCGCCCCCCTCACACACACACACACACTCTCTCTCTCTCTCTCTTTCTCCAGATCTTGTATGGATGGATGAGTGAATAATGTTTGACTGAAAAAGTCAAAATTGGATCGAGACCTTTCTTAATTGTTCCATACACCATCTATACTTCTTCCACTCTCCTTCTAACATCTGGTTCCGGTTCTTCTGCCAATGGAAACCATCGATTACCACTTGCACCAAATAATAACCGTACCTGAAATCATTGGTCAAAACCATATATGAAATCAAGCTATCAAACCTGAAATCAAAGCTTAAAACCATACCAAAATAATACATGGAATCAAAGCTTGGAACCGAACCTTATAATCAAAATCGTAACAGAAAACAATACACATCCAAACCACAGAAAATGAAACTCGCTTGACACTTTGATGGATATCCTCTCTCTCTTATCTTAATCTCATGAGCTATTCGGCAACAAAGACGAAAGAAAACAACTTATATGATGAACTTGAAGAATTACACATGCCTTCCACTTCGTTCAAGAATTTCATGAGAAGCAAACCATTAACCAAAACAAAATACCAAATATACACCATCAAAAATCAGTAGACCAATCTATATACTAAATATGAGCTATGGTTCTCACCTTTGTGATTTTAGGGACAACAGATTTGGGCATGTGAAGTCGGCGAGATTATTTGCCCTAAATATGAGAATACTCGTGTCCTGGTTCGTGGAATCTCATATTACCGATTTTGAACCAATTGAGAATACCTTGTTTGCTTGACTCGAATAGAGAAGAGAATGAGGGATTAGGGTACGATGAGATGTAGTGGAAGTTATCGATTTCCACCATCTTCTTCATTAGCCAATTTCGTTGGTAGCCTTCCAGGAGTAACCTGCATCTTCCCATGTTCCTTCCTATGGCTAATGTCATCGATCAACAATCACTGAAGGAGAAATCCGAGTAGGGTAATCGAACGAGGGGGATGATTAATCGTTGGGATCTGAAGGCGATTTGAAGAGGTCGGGATAGGAGATTGCAGCTAGTAGGAGTGAAAGTGACGAGATGAACCTTTCTAATAGCTTTTGGAATCTTAAGAGAGAGAGAGAGAGAGAGGGAGGTGGGACCCTTTAATATTAAATAATTATATATTTTTTCTTTTTTTAAAAAAAATAGGGTAAAACTTTATAAATGGTCCCTGTGGAAGTGAAATGATACAATTGCCCTTCACGTAACGGCCAAAAGCTAACGGAGTTATCGAAAAGGAGCAAATGTTAAAAGTTTTGAACCACAAGGACCATCTGTATGGTTTTTAGAACTTAGGGACTAAACTTGATATTTTTGAAAACCAGAGGGACCATTTTGGAAGTTTTGTCATATATATATATATATATATATATATATATATATATATATATATATATATATATATATATATATATATATATATATAGTGAGGTTCAATAGAGAATCATAATTAACCAAGGAACCAATCGTGAGCATTGGAAATCATAACGATCAACGGCCAAGAAAATAGATGTACACTTTTACATTGGACGTACACACACCAGATTATATTAAAAAATCCACCATTTACAAAAAACCCACCACTTTTTTTCTTTTAAATTTTTTTTTAAGCCATGTTTTTTATTAAAAAAAAAACCGAATATACCGTTGTTCATGATTTTTCGTCCTCTTTCCGTAGAGATCCATGATGATATATAAAAAACGAACCTTTTTTTTCGAAAATAACTCACTTCATTTTCTTTAATGAAAAAAGTTAAGGTATATTCTTTAGAGAAAAAAACTAATAAATATATCAAAATTCATATTTTATGTACTTTTTAAACATAGATTTATATTCATATTAAAATAATAATAATAAAAACAAAAAATAAAAAACAATAGTTCAGTTCAGATTCACATTGTGAACTTGTTCTGATTCATATTGTAAACTTGTTCGGATTCACATTGTGAACCTCCTCAGATTTACAGTGTATATAATAATAAATCAGATTCACAGTGTGAATCTAAACTAATCAGAGCTTTTTCACATTGTGAATGTTAAAATTTGAAATATTTACAGTTTAGATTTACAATGTGAATCTACACTAATCGAGGTTTTTTTTTTGGTGAATCTGAACTGTTCGAGATTATTCATATTGTGAAAGTTAAAAATTGAAATATTTATAGTTTAGATTCACAGTGTGAATCTATACTGTTCAAGGTTTTTTTTTTAATCGGTATTGATGTTTATTAATAGAGTACAAAAAATTAATATTTTTGGTATAATTAGTTTTTTTTAGACAAAATTGCAAGAATGGTCCCTGTGGTTAGGTCGAAATTGCCACTTTGGGCCAAACAAGTTTGGACTAGCACTCATGGTCTAAAGGTTTTCATTTTCTTGCCACTTTGGTCCAGTTTACTTTAGATTTTTTAATAATGACCATTTTGCCATTTCTTTTTATTTTTTCACTTTTTTTTTATTATTTATTCAAATACTTTTATTAAAAGAAAAAGAAAAAAGAAAATACATTTCTCTCTTTTCTCTCTCTCTCTCTCTCTCTCTCTCTCTCTCTCTCTCTCTCTCCTTATGGTAGACCACCACCATCACTGCTAAATGCCTAAATCTATCCAACACTTCGTCTGCTTCACACATCTTCATCCTCTATGAAGATCTCATCCAGATCATTCCTCAGTCCAGCCCGTTGGGGCGTCTCTCGCAATGTTCCCTACTGTCAGTAAAAAAAAGAGGAAGCAGTTTCGAAAACCCTGAACCTTCTTCCCCTAAAGTTACCTGCATTGGTCAGGTTAGGATGAAGAAAAAGAAGAAGCACACGAAAAATCTGAGTTTATCGAGACGACAGAGCACCGACGAGGTTAGTTTCAGGAGATTCGAGCATTCCGGTAATGGGTTCGATAGTCAAAGTCAAAATCTTGGTTCTAATCAAGAGTGTTTACCATTGCAGAGGAATAATCAGAGATGGGTTCATTTACCATTGACGATTTATGAATCTTTAAGAGTGTTTGGGTCTGAGGTAAGCTGTTTGTTTCCTTACTGGTCTTCGTGTTCTTCAATGACGATGATAGAGAAAGAGGAAAAAATGGTTGGGGAAAATAAATAGGGGTCTTGTGGTGCGGTGTTTGCACGGTGGTTGGTGGCATTGCAGGGAGGTGATGGAAGTGGAATAGAGGCCGGTGGTGGTGGTGGTGGTGGTGGTGGTGGTGAGAGAGTGGTTGAGTTAATCGCCGGAGATGATGATGATGAGAATGAGGAAATTGATGAGATGGGTATTATGAATTCAAGAAGACATGTATTTCAAGACTTGGAGATTGTAAACGACAGTGTCTTTGGGACAATCGATTAAGCTAGGGTGAGCACTTATGTACCACCTAAAAATGCTTTGTTATTGATGAGGTGTAGATATGATGCTATGAAGATGGAAGCTCTCACGAATCCATTCTGGGAACCAAATATGGAGAAAAACAATGAGGAAGATGAAGATGAAAATGAAGAATCTTGTAAAAATGAAGAGAAAATTGAAGAGAGCGTAATTCCTAAAAATCTCCAGGAGAGAGAGAGAGAGAGAGAGAGAGAGAGAGAGATAAATGTATTTTCTTTTTTCTTTTTCTTTTAATAAAAGTATTTGAATAAATAATAAAAAAAAATTGAAAAAATAAAAAGAAAGGGAAAAATGGTCATTATTAAAAAATTTAAAGTAAATTGGACCAAAGTGGCAAGAAAATGAAAACCTTTGGACCATGAGTGCTAGTCCAAACCTGTTTGGTCGAAAGTGACAATTTCGACCTAACCATAGGGACCATTCTTGCAATTTTGTCTTTTTTTTTTTATAAAAAAAAAAGCTTAAATATTGAAAAAAATAAGAAAATTAAGTGGGTTTTTTTCAAAAAAAAAATCTTTTTATATATATATCGTCATGAATCTCTATGGAAAGAGGATGAAAAATCGTGAACAACGGTATCGGATTTTTTTTTTCCGATAAAAAACTTGACCTACAAAAAAGTTTTAATGAAAAAAAGGAAGTGAGTTTTGTTATAGTCTGGTACATGTGTGTCCATTATAAAAATTTACAACTCTTCCTTTTACCATTGATCGCTTTAAATTCCGATACTTTGGATTGGTTCCTTAAATAATAATGGTTCTCTATTGAACATTTCCCTTATATATATATATATATATATATATATATATATATATATATATATATATATATATATATATATATATATATATATATATATATATATATAGGGAATAAGACTTGTTAAGATAATTAACTTTTCGGGTTGTTCACATATAGGTAACTATCTTTTTTTTTTGTACACATCTAGGTAACAAACTTTTTGAAACTGTTCACATATGACCAGCAGGTTACATCCACCTACAACAGGTCATAATGGTTATATGTGAACAGTTTCATCAAGTTCGTTACTTAGATGTGTACAAAAAAATAAGTACCTAAATATGAAAAAAACCAAAAGTAAGAGTAAATTACGTGAATGCTCCCTATGGTTTGGGGGAATTTTTGTATTTGGTCCCTAACTTATTTTTTTTAACTCGGATGGTCCCTACTATTTATTTTTGTTGCACGCTTAGTAACTGTCTTACCTAAAAAGACTATTATGCCCTTATTAATTTATTTATTTTAATTAATTTTCTTATTTATGTTTTTTTAATATGTTTAAAAAAATTAATAGACTCCACATATCTGTATCTTTTCACCGTAAACTTGAAACCACATTTAAGAAATTTAATTTGGGTCCCACCGGTTACCATCCCATCTCACATCCTATTCAACCTCTATTTTCTTTCAATCTTTAGTGACATGGAAGTCTTCACCATTCTTTTTTTTGGTCCTTTAACTCTGGCGAACAAACACCATAACCCACTGTCTCTTCACTTTATTGGGTTGTGGTGTTGGTTCGCTGGAGTTGAAGGACCGAAAAAGAATAGATGGTGAAGACTTCGTTGTCATTAAAGATGGAAAAGAAATAGAAGTTGAAGATGATGAAAGATGGGATGGTGAGGAGACAAGATATGTGAGGTCTATAAGTTTTTTTAAACATATAACAAAAATACATAAATAAATAAAAATAATTAAAAAAAATAAATTAATAAGGACACATTAATCTTTTAGGTAAGACATGGACTAAACGCAACAAAACAAAACAGTAGGGAACATCCGAATTAAAAAAATAAGTTAGAGACCAAACGCATAAATTCCCCCAAACCACAGGGACCATTCGTGTAATTTACTCTTAATTTTGGTTTTGTTCATATTTGGGTAACTATTTTTCTTTTGTACACATCTAGGTAACGAACTTGTTGAAAGTGTTCACATCTAACCATTATGACCTACTGTAGCCGGATGTAACCTGCTACAACAGGTCATAATAGTCATATGTGAACAGTTTCATAAAGTTTGTTACTTAGATGTGTGCAAAAAAAAGTTACCTACATGTGAACAAACCGAAAAATTAATTACCTTAATTAATCTTATTCCATATATATATATATATATATATATATATATATATATATATATATATATATATATATATATATATATATATATATATATATATATATATATATATATATCGAGGAAATAATTTATAAAAAAATCAACATTTTAATTTCAATTTTATTAAAGAAAAGAATGAGCTATGTTGGAATCTTCCAAGAAAGAGGTGGCAAACCTTTAAATGAATGGGAGCCGAGCCTGAGACCACACAAATTGTTATAAATGGTCGAGACTTGAGAGAGTTGGTAGGTATTTTGATAATCTATCGTGGATTAGTGGGGTATTGAGTATATTTTATAAAAATTGTTATTTAAATTTATGATATCGACATAATTTGGGTGTACGTAGTCCATCGAGTTTATACTAAACGACATCTCTAAATGAACTTTACAAATTTTCTTTTTATGTGATATAGTTGTGATTTTTCATAAACTTGTTTCATACAATAATCAAACATGCATATCTAATGTATAAATATATTAGATTTTAACTAATATACCAATTAATGTTTTGGTAAAAAATTGAACAAGTATTATTCAACCAAATTGTATGAGAAACTGTGGTGTTTAAAGTAATACAAGTATCGAATAATGATCAAAATGAGGCAAGTGTGTTACAAGGAAAACCTTTGATCCTTTATAAGATCTCCGACATAAAACATTGGGACGTGACAATGATCATCTACCTTGTTTTTATCGATTTGAATGTGAGATTACAAAAATGGTGATGATAATATGAATACTAATGTAGTATTACTCTAATTGTGTCTATTGTGTGTTAATTACATGTGTCTTTATAGTCTAGACTAAACAACAATATGTCTGATATTTCCGAGATCATCTTGAATGAGAATAAGCACGTTGTTTGATTTAATACTACACTTAAACCCACTTTAATATTGTTGTATAGTCTAGACTATACAACAATATTGAGCACTATGTTTGATTTAATATTGTTGTATAGTCTAGACTAAACAACAATATATCTGAATACTTCGTCCTATTTTAAGCCCATAACCAGACAATGAACAGGAAATAAAGCTAAACCAAATATTCTCAGGCTATAAAATATTAATTATTTACGACCGTGGTGCATACACTAAGCAACTACACTAATGATCTCAATTTCATATAAGTAAAATCCCTAGGTTATCAGACATCATATAATCCGACTATTATATCAAGCAATTCTTGAAGATCCCTAGCCTAGTACTAGCATGATGTTCTAACATATCGCAAAATCAAATAATCCGTAAGGTATTTTGGGGTCTACTCGCGAGCTCCGACTAATCGTACACTTGCATCCTCCTTTAGTATTTTGAAAATCATTTTTAAAATCTTGTCCTTAAATTGAGACTGGAGACATACGAGTATTTCCTCTAATTCACTCAAACCAAGGCTCTGATACCAACTTGTAACTCCATAAAAATCATGCCATTAAGTTATTACAATTTGTTTTCAAAATAGTTTAAATATCAGAGTATCCCTAAAATTAAATCATGAAAAATATAAGGAGGTGAACGATCACGCATTCGCCTTCCCAAGATCATTAGAAGTAGCTGAAACATAATCAACAACCGTAAGCCCGAAGCTTAGTGAGTTCCCCCGAAATACCAACGACATACAAATATAACCATATCATATAAACAAACAACATACATAATAAGCCATCAGCCTGACTGGACCGCCTCGCAGTTCATCAGTTTAACTTAATTGCTCTCTGAGCCATCAACACGTCTAGACCGCCTCGCGGGCCTTCAGCCTATCCGGACTGCTCGTCGGGCCTTCGGTGTTACTAGTATGCCCTCCCAGGTCTGTAGTCTATCTGGTCTGCCCTAGGTATGTTGGCCTAAGCACAAAGCATAACCGCTTCAACCCAACCCCCAATGAACAAACATGAGCAAATAAATATCATACGCTAGCTAGCATGTACAGATAGTCATACAGATCTATTAGATCACGAACATGAAAATCATCCTATAACCAGGATACCGATCTAACCGGTCACTAACATAGCAACCATCCTATAACCAGGATACCGCATAAGCCTATAACTAGGATACCGATCTAACAGATCACTAACATAGCATAATCCTATAACCAGGATACTGATCTAACATATCACTAACATAGCAACTATCATATAACCAGGATACTAATCATAAAGCATATAATGTAATAAACCCTGATACAAATCCGAAAAGGGTCGGCGTTGGTGCCTTCCACCCTGTTAGTATATTGAGGACAACTCACCTCACACTGTTGAAGTCTCGTGGATAAAACTCCGGCTGCTGGATGACGGATTCCTGAACTTTCAACATCAAATAATACCCAATTAATAATTGGGTTCCAAGCCCAAGGTCCAACTCACACTCTAAAGGCCCAATAGGCGAGTAATGGGTCAAAGCCCAACATATGGCCTAATTTTCCGAATTGGGCCCAACCTTTACATGGTCTTACCCTAGAGCCCAACCATTTAGTCCAGTCCAAACATTTGGCATTTCAATTGGTCCAACCTCTCATCATCCTCAAGGCCCAGTTATGGCCCAATTTTCCAAATTAGGCCCAAACCCTCACACAGGCCTTATCCTAAGCGCATCCAAAATTTTTAGTCCATTTACTTGTTCTTGGATAGCCCATCAGTAGCCCAGTCACCAAAGCTCAATAGAAAGGCGCATGTGAAATTAGGGTTTTCACATGAAATGACGATTGGGGTTAAGTGTTCCTACTCAACCCATTAAGGACTTAATCCATTAAGTCTAATATTTCCTTAGGTTAATTGAAAATGATTATTAATTAACATTTTCAGTCTAATAAATAATT